ACATTTTGAGGAACTCTTTGTATCCCAGAAACTCACTTTTAAGTGTGAAAATATGCTGTGGCAACATATCCCGAAATTTAATAGCTTAAAATATAAACAAATGTTTATTCCCTCGCAGTTTCTATGAGGCAGGAATTCTGGGGTGGTTTGGTTGGTGTTTATGGCTTAGGGTCGCACGTGTTCTGGCGAGGTCTCAGATGGGTCACTGGCTGGGGCGACAGTCACCTGAAGGCTGAGCTTCCAAGGTGGGTCTCTTATATGGTAGGTTGAGTCGGTATTGTTGTTGGTGGAGATAGGGGTCATGTGGACTGGCTCTGATTCACTGTGGGAGGAGGGTACACAAGGGGTATGAGTTCCAGAGGCTGATGATGACTAGGGATCATCTTGAAGGCTGTTAGGGGCTGAGTTCTGTGTCCCTAAATTTTGTAGGCTAAAGTCCTAAACCCCAGCACCCCAAAATGCAACTGCATTTGAAGAGAGGGTCTTTAAAGAGGTGTTTAAGTTAGATTAAGGTCCTGTGGGTGCTAATCCAATATAACTTGTGTCCTTATAAGAAGAGGAGGTTAGGACACAGACATACACAGAGGAAGACCATGTGAGGACACATGGTCTTGCCATCTGCAAGCCAAGGAGAGAGGCCTCAGAAGGTACAACCCTACTGTCATCTTGGGCTTCTAGCTTCCAGAACGGAGTGGAAATACACTTCTGCTGTTTAAGTTCCCAAGGGGTAGTACTTGTTACAGCAGCTGTAGCAAACTAATACTTTGCAATAACCCTGAACTATGAAATAAAGAGGAAGACATGAAAGACCGATGACTACGCTAGCTGTGAGGTCATCTTCAAAAAGTGGTATCTTTTGGCCACATGAGTTCAAACAAAGCTATATCTGCTGTCTTGTCTTGAGGGTGCTGACCCTTCAAAGACATGCCTGAAAGAGCTTCCAGCAGGTCAGTTCCGTCAGAATCTATGTCTTGTCAAGTGGAAGGGAAAGGAGAGTGTGAAAGTGACTGATCGCTGTTGGTCCCACATGAACACCAGTGAAACTATATCTTAACACAGGGCGGGGTGAGCCTTCCCACAGACCTGGGCATGAACTTCGGGAAGGTCTCCTGGCTGGGCGTCCACTGTGACGTGTCATTTCCTGCTGCAGTTACGTTTTCTGGGTGGGCTCCAGGGATCCTGCTGTTTCCTTAGAAACCACCCAGTGGGCCTCAAGGTCTGGGCTAAGGCCATCCCAAGGCCAAGTGTGGGTGGACCTCGACTTCCCAGCCAAAGATTAAGGTGCCAGGGGCCCCCTGCTGCCAAGAGTAGCCTAATTATCAAAATAAACAGACGTTGTAAAGATTAATTAACTTCAGTTTCAGTGTTGAACAATAGCTAAAAAAAAAAAATTAAACAGTTGAATATCGTGTTATCAGATGGGTTGGGGGCGGAGGATGATTTGCCAGGAAGAGAGGATGCAAATAAAATCAGCCTGAGAGGGAGATCATCACTTGAGAAAAAAGTCCTGGAAACGGCCCAGAGCTCAGTGTCAACAAGGATATGGTCAAACCTGAGTCAGACCTGAATTACTTTGGGCCTCTTCCTGAAAACACACTGTGGGTTTCACTCTGACCAAGATAAACTCTTTTGCTTCCAGGGAACTCTAAGAGTGCAGAAGCACACCTCTCTAAATCACGCTCGCCGAAGCACCTCCTGGGTCAAAGAGGGTTGTGGGCTTATAAATGAAAAGAGTTTCTTTTTCCTTCCTCTGTTAGCCTGAAAGAATATGGTCAGGCACACATCCTAAGAAAATATAAGGTTTCTAGGGCACTCATACAATTCTGCCGGGAGTATGAATCAGAAATTTTCTGGGTAACAGTTGGGCGGTGTGTATCAAAAGCCTTAATATTTTAAGCAGTCTTTGACAAAGCAATATACTTCCAGGAATTCCTGTGGAAACTATTGTGCTCATGTGCAAATATTTAGCTCTAAGGATGTTCCACAAAGAACTGTTTCTATTTATTTATTTATTTATTTGAGGGAAGGAGAGCGTGAGTTTGGGTGGGGGAGAGGCAGAGGGAGAGAGAGAGACCCTCCAATGGACTCCCCACTGAGCGTGGGCTCCACTTCAGGACCCTGAGATCAGGATACAAGCCAAAATCAAGAGTCGGATGCCTAACTGACTGAGTCACCCAGGTGCCCCCACATAGAACTGCTTCTAATGTTCAAAAACGGAAATCATCTGAACAATGATTGCATTGGGCATTGTAAATAGAGCTGGCACATTCGTACAATGAAAAACTATGCAATTCTTTAAAATTATGTTCATGTTAAAATTTTGCAGATATCTTAAATGGGAAAAAATAGCCTACAAAGTGATAAGTATATGACACCACTGAGGGGGAAGGACCTTCCCACACAGAAAAGTGGTGGAAGGAGGTTCCTTAAAGATTAATAGTTTTGTTTTGTTTTGTTTTGTTTTTCCCGGATTTATAGGCATTTTTATTTTTCTAGTTTTGGCTTATCTGTGATTTTTGAGTTTTCAACTACAAACACATATTTCCTTTGTAACAGAATAAACAATAGTTACATCAGACTTCTAAGAAAAATTTCATAATTCAGACCGTTACCTCTTCCCGATGCAGAAATCGTACATCCCATTCTCGGATCTCTTGACTGGGAATTCTGAAGGGTTTACGGAAAGGCTAGGGGACCCTATAGACTTTTGGAAATGAAACGGCTGAGTCCCAGGATGTGAAGTGTGTCAGCTTAAAAGATGCTGGTGTATGCTCCACAGTTTACCCTCTCCCAGCTGTGCTCAAGAGTTTCCATTGATCTGTATCTTCTTCAACACTTGGGATAGCCAGTCTTCTTAAGTTTTGCTGATCTAGAAAGTGCAAAATATTATTTTCATCATGGTCTTAATCTGTATTTCCCTGATTTATATATTATATAAGCAAACTATTATATATAACTTATTGTAACATATTACATATATGATGAACAACCTGTGTCCCAGCAAAGCATTGGGGACACCCCATCAGTTGACGGGCAAGTGTTGAGAACAGCCTGTCATGTTAGCTGTTGTTGTAAGTGAACCGAACTTTGTAAGGTCTCTAAAATTCTCTCCTCTGTTCTCTGCTCTCCAAGTTCTAAATTCCTCCCAGTGTGTATTATTTTTTAAAGATTTTATTTATCTATTTATTTATTTGGTGGGGGAGGGGCAGAGGGAGAAGGAGAGAGAAAAATCTCCCGCAGACTCCCCGCTGAGCAAGGAGCCCCACACTAGGCTCAGACTTATGACTCTGAGATCACGACCAGAGCCAAAAACCTAGAGTCAGATACTCAACCAACTGAGCCCCCTGGCACCCCACCCCGTAAGTATTATTAAAATTGCTTCCAAGCTGAGATTGGTTCCCTTCTCCCAGGGCCTCCCATACACTGTCCCTAAAGGACAATAGCATGAGGCCATTTCTCTAGACTGCATGTCGCTAGCAGAATAGTCTGTCTTTGGCTAAGCGTTCACAGGCAAACTCAGTCTTCTCCAGGTTCCTTTTCCCTGCTCATTCTCTGTGGCTTCCCCATCCACACCCCACTATTCCAGCTCACGGTCAGCCCCCTGGACTCCCCTTAAGTGATGCTACTTTGGTGTTTATGCCTTTCTGTCTTGCTCGTTTCTACCCAGTTAAGCACGTTCTCCCGTGACCAAGTCTCTTTAACCCCAGCAAGCCCGTCATGACCGTGAAGGTCCACACTCATCTCTCCCAACACTGACCCTAGCACCCCTCGTCCTCGCCTTGCACTGCCAACACTCACGCCCTGTTTCACGTGGCTAGACATCGGGTCCCACGTGTGGGTTTTGTCTGCCGCTCCAGCACACTCTGTGAAAGCAAAGTAGACTTCTTCCGACTTGTTTTTCTTACAGCACTTAGCGCCTCTGCACCTCACCTCTGTATGTGTGAAATTCATATTTACTAATTGTGTTGGCGTTGTGCCAGGTGCTGAAAAACCTATCCTTGTGTTTATTTAGTTCATTTCATTCATTCATTCTTCAGTTATTTACTGGGTTTCTACACTGGGCCAGGATATGGGCATTGATGACAAGCAAGACAGAAAGAGTCGCTGTCCTCTCGGAGCTTGTGTTCTCGCAGGGGAGATGCCTTCTCAAAGTAGACAAATAGGGGCGCCTGGGGGGCTCGGTTGGTTAAGGGTCTGACTCTTGATTTCAGGTCACGATCTCAGGGTCTTGAAATCAAGCCCCACATCCAGCTCTGCTCTGAGTGTGGATCCTGCTTAAGATTCTCTCTCTTCCTCAGGGCACCTGGGGGGCTCAGTCAGTTAAGCGTCTGCTTCTGAACTCAGGTCATGATCCCAGGGCCCTAGGATCAAGCCTGGCATCAGGCTCCTGGCTCAGCGGGAAACCTGTTTCTCCCTCTCCCTTGGCTCCTCCCCTTGCTCATGCTCTGTCTTGTGCTCTCACTCTAATAAATAATAAAAAAAAAAATCTTAAAAAAAAAAGACTCTCTTTCTTCTTCTCCCTCTGTACCACCTCCCTGCCCACTCTCTCTTAAAAAAAAAAAAGGCAAATGAAGTATTTCAAGACGTGGTATGGGGCATAAAAGAAATAGTCTTCATTCAGCGTGTTACATATTTTGCATGTTCTGTGTACAAGGCCGGTTACATTATTTGCGGGGATTGGTGCAAAATGAAAATGTAGGACCCCTTGCTCAAAAATATGTAAGAATTTCAAGACAGTAAGACCAGAGCGTCATAGCAAGCTCACGGCCCTGCTAGTGCGTGTCCAGAAGCCCGCTCTGCCTATATAGGACTTAGCCTATATGACTCATATGATAAAGCATCCTGGGGACATTAATGAGACAGAAAATTTTCCGAGAAACTATGTCCATGAACTTGAAATCCAGCTCAGTGTATTTCCTTAACAGAAAATAGCAAAAGCCCCGTGGTTAGCCAAATACGGATGCAACCTGAAATTCTTGTTGGCGTTCCCTGCCTTTCAGACTGCCTGTCTTACTGGGCTTTGCAAGTATTATCCAGGAGGTGCTACGGGAAGCAGAGATGCAAAATCATGGTCAACGATCACCATTTCGGGAGCCCCTGTCCGCCAGGAGTGAAAAAATACCTCACTGTCACCTATGCCTGTGGTAAGAATATACCACCCCCCCCAACCTGCTCTAAGACCCGCCTCTTTGGGAGGTGGTGATCGTGGGAAAAGGCGTTTTCGTGCAACAAACCAAATGACGTTACTCCTGAAACGGTGTTGTCACCCCAGATATTCCAGAGTACTTTTTTTCCATCCTTTATTCCTGTCTAGGATGTTCACATTAAGTAAGCAATACAAGTTCTTTGGTCACAATTCGTTTTGAAAGCACTTTCAGCGATCAGATCGGCAATAAATGGGAAGAGGACAGAAAGTACAAGCACATGGGAGAAGAGTGATTTTAATCTGGGTGCTTAGGAGGCTCTGAAATTTATGTGTATATGACGCAAGCTCGCAGAAGTATTGTTTGGCTCCCACTTACCCTTGCAGTCTTGGTTTTAGGCTCTGAATGACTAACTCTCTATACCGCCAACAGCCATATTATCTGCATACCCACCGCGGTGAGTCAACAGATCAAATGCTCACCCGAAAACAATTAAAAGTGTTACATGACAGCAGACTTGGTTTTCCCAGCGTCTTCAAACGAGAAAATGCAACGCCTGGTCCATTAGAGTCCAAATTTACAGAGCTGCCTGAAAATGAAAGGGCAGCAATGATTCTCGGAGGGTACGGTGGATTTCTGGTTTGCCATCCTGACACGGGGACCGTTCATTTGGAAATGAGCGTGGGAGCCAAGGGAGCAAAGAGAACCGTATCTGAAAAACCCGATGTGTGTGCTCCTGGAAACCCCTTCTCCCACCAGATCTCCCCACCTTGTTCTTTGTGTAACAGCTTGAATGAGATATAATTCACAGGTCATCTGGTTCACCTCCTAAGGCACACGAATCAGTGATTTTAGAATTTTAGTTTATTCTTGGGATTTAATTTTGTTCACAGAATCATGCAACCACTGCCACAATTAACTTATGAACATTCTCATTATCCCCCAAAGAAACTCTGCCCCCTAAGCTGTGACCCCCCCAACGCAACCCCACCACCCCACCCCAGGCCACCACCGATCTACTTTCTGTCTCGATGGATTTGCCTCTTGTACCTCTCATATAAATGGCATCATGCAGGATGTAGGTTTTCTTTATTGTTTCGTTTTGTTTTTCATGATTGGCACCTCTTTACCTAGAGTGTTTGCAAGGTTCATCCATGCTGTGATCTAATAATCCTTTTTGTGATCTAATAATATTCCAGTGCATTCCCCAGCCTTTTATATCCTGAGCTAAACATGTCCTCTGCGGCGTCAAAGCCGTAATTGGTACAATAAGGTGGCGGCATGAATGCATTTCCAAGCTAATAGCAGCCACACGAGCACTGCAGGAAATGTGATGTGACTTCCCCTCTCAGCCTTTATTCCCGCTCCCATGCTGGAGCAGCTCTGGGGTTCCTCCAAGAAGGCACACAGAGCACCCTGAAGTTCTAGGAGCGTCCAGCCTCTCCAGCTGAGTGTTGAAGGAGGGTAGCCTACAAACGAGGTGAATATCCTGCTGTGCCTTTAAGAAGGAGCTGATAGCTCCCAGGGTGGGGGCTTTTCTTAGTGGAGAGAAGGTGGGCTCTTGGGGCCTCGGTGTCCTGCTCCGGTTCAAACTGCTTCTCCCCCGTCCATTCATTCAGTGCACTGAGGGCATGTGCTCAGCGTCAGTGGCGCCGGGTGCCAAGAATTGGGTAGTTTAAAAAAAAAAAAAGGGAGTATGGTTCTTGTCCTTGGCATTATCAGTTGAGGGCTAGAGAGGGCCACTTAACAAACGAGCAGGTAAATCCTCCAGGTAAATCCGGGCAGCCCCTGCCAAGTCCCGAGTAGGGGGAGGGGCGGAGCTGGTGAGGTCAAGGTGGTGTGAAATCGCCCAGGAGCAGCCAGGACCCAGTCCTGTGGGGTCCTGGGGGAAGGTGCCAGTGGAGGGCTCATGGTGGAGGGTCAGACCGCCGTGATGACTGGACTTTTAAGAGACCAGTCTGTGGGGCGTGGGGTGGGGAGTGGGCCGGAGTGGGCTGGGGGTGGGCGCCAGCTGGAACAAGAGCGAGTAAGAACCGGATGGATTTGAGAAAGGTTTGGAAAGCGGGAAGATGCAGGAGACGCTGAGGACACCTGCCTGGGGGAAAGACTGGGGCACCCAGAGGAGGCAGAGGGACGGGGATGAAGGATGTTTCCCTTGTCACAGCAGGACGGGAGGCTCTGGGAGTGGGTGGGGGGTTTGCTGTTCACTCTCGGGGCCTGTCTTCTCTGGCATGAGATGAGATCATCAGCCGTGAGGACCGGGAAGGGAAGGGGGTTTGAGAAGACAAGAGAAGGTATTAAGGAAGGGCTGCGGGGGGCGGAGGCTACTGCCAGAGTTCTCAGGGACACTGGTCTGCCTGCTGGTGTGGTTCTTTCCAGTGCAGCCAGATGCTTGAGGGGTCCCCGAGGCTCACTGGTCAATGACAAAGAAGGGAGAGAGTCGGGGCGCTCCCATCTGAGTGATCACAGTGGTGGATAGAGGAATCCGAGCTGCAGATAGGAGGGGCTTCGGGAAGAAGGGAGAGTGGGAGGGTCAGTGGAGGGGTCTGGGTGAGGTTGAGAATGGCAGAGGGAAGCACTTGAAAGAGTCATTTGAGGACTGAAGGCTGAGGTCAGGAAGAGGGCTTGCAACTTGGTTTTGGGTGTGGGGCTGTGGAGGAAATGGGGCGTTGACAGTGTCCTGCCATCTCCCTAGGACAATGCCCCTTTGTCCAGCAGTGTGACCCCCAGGACTTATTCCAAAGGGGGGACGGGTGCCTGGGACTGTGAGGCAAGTTCGTGCCTATCCACCCGCCCCCGCCCTCCCGCACCGTAGATGCTTTCTAATCACCTTCTAAGTGGCTGGCATTTTAGAAAAACATACTCTCCCCCTTAGGGGCGCCTGGGAGGCTCAGTGGGTTAAAGCCTATGCTTTTGGCTCAGGCCATGATCCCAGGGTCCTGGGATCGAGCCCCACATCGGGCTCTCTGTCCACAAAGAGCTGCTTCCTCCTCTCTCTCTGCCTGCCTCTCTTGCCTACTTGTAATCTCTGTCTGTCAAATAAATAAATAAAATCTTTAAAAATATATATACTCTCCTCCACCCCCGGCCAGATGGCTTTTTACTCTGCAACCTGAATCATTAAAAAATGATTTGTAATGTCTGAATATTTTATAGGTCACCAAATGGGAATGCAGGGTTTTACATTTTTTAAAAATGTCTCCCAACCGATGTGGAAGTTGATACGAAGTCCGAGTTTGTCAATAATTCATTTCTAAGCGAATCAGTCTTAGTTAGGACTCTTTGGATGTGAGTGTAGGAGCCAGTGTGAGCTGGTTTAAGCCAAAAGGAGGTGGAGGGGGGTAGGTGTTAGGCCATGGGAACCAGGGCACGGAAGCAAGGCTTCAACCTGAAGCTCCAAGGTCATGGTAAACCTCTGGCATCCCTCCTCTCTGCTTCTCCTGGCACTTCTGCTCCCTTATTCTCTCTCTTACTCTCGATCTCTCTCCTCCCGCACCCAGCCTCCCCGTGAGCCTGCTGGATGGCACGTGGCCACCCCCACAGCCTCAGTGATTTTTATGTCCTGTTTCCAACGATTATGGAGACCTGCAGTCTGAAATCTTAATTCCAAATTTCTAACAAAAAGATATTTAATTGGCCCGGTTGGGGTCAGGTAGCCCTCCTCCCTTGATCAGCCCTGGGCAGAAACCATGTGATGTGATTATAGACATGGCTTCCTAGGGAGGAGACCGGCCAAACCCCCAAGTCAAGATGCTCTTACATAAGAGGCTCAGGAAAGATCACCCCAGAGACGTCTGTTCTAATGCCTGCTTCCTACTGCGGCATCTGACCCAGATTTGCTCTTCTACCCAGCGGTCTTGCTGTGCCCACATAGGGGACAGGACACCCCTCTCCATGGAGGGGAGGGAAGAGGGGCATTAGGGACAAGTGCTGAACATCAAGCTCTGGACCCTCATTTCTATAGAAACACAGGCCACCCATCTCCAATGTGAACCAGACAGTGGGGCAGAGATGCCTCACCCTTAGGAACCCTGACTGCACCCCTTGCCGGGGGGTAGGGAAATGACAATGAGCAGTATGATCTCTGCTCAGAGACTTGAGGGACCAGGAGGGCTTCCTGGGGGAGGTGGCATTAGAGACAAGTGAGACCAGTTGTGTAGGAGTCAGGAAATTGAAGGTGGGGGGAGGGAAGGGCAGGCAGAAGGAACAGCACAGGCAAAGGGGGGAGGCGAGCACCGCAGTAGGACTGGAGAGACCTGGGGGATGGGAGGTTAGGCTAGGCTTTTACCCAAGGTGGGGAGCCCCTGGCAAGTTGTCTCAGGGGACATAATCAATTTGCATTCTAAAAAGAACACTCCTCCCTATTTTATAGAGCTTCGTTTAATCCCGGCTCTCTTCCCTGCGGGGCTTAGGCTGGGCAGAGAATTTCACCTCTCTGTGGAGCCCTGGGGTATGTTTCAGGCTGCGAGCCTTCTGCTCTTGGAACTGTAGGCAGCACATCTGGCTAATGTCAGACCACTCAGCACAGAGCACTTTGATGGGGCTGGGATGCTTTCCTCCAGTATTCATTAGTGCATTGCTAAATGAGGTCCTCTCTGTGTTCCCTCCAAGCTTAACCATTAGCCTCACTTCTTGATCATGCTAGATTTCAGATTTTCTTCCTCACTTCTTGATCATGCTGGATTTCAGATTTTCCTCCTCATAGGATAAGCCAGACCTGGAAAACTCAGCCCACTGACCCCCTCACATGTGCAGGGAGGACTCCTCTCCATGTCCATAGCCACTAGCACTCAAGGGTCAACGGGACAGAGGCACAGTCAGATTCCCACACCGATAATGCCTGAGAGGCAAGAGAGATGTGTGGACCTCCGCCTAGGGCCCTCACAGCTCCTCCCAGAAGCGGGTGCCAGGATTTGGGGACAGGTGGGATGGTGGCACCAAGATTAGGGGCAAGGGGAGTAGATGCCAGGATTAGGGGGCAGTGGGGAAGGGGGTTATTAGGATTGGGGGCAGGAGGGAAGGGAGGTACCAAGATTGGGGGACAGGAGGGATAGAAGGTGTTAGAATTAGGGACAGGAGGAGTAGGTGATGCAGGGTTTGGGGACAGCAAGATAGGGGTGTGTCTGGATTTACTGGCACTGATGCTGTCTGGGCTCCTACTGAGAAGGAGGGCAAGTTAAGTAGAGATACCGTGTTTGTCTCTGACATGCAGAATCTTTTTGAGCCCTAAGTTTGACTTCTGGAGACTTCTTTCTTAAAGTCTGCACTGACCCAACCTTGACACAGAAGATTTATTCAGGGGGGAAAAAAAAGAAGTCGAAGTGGGTACCCTGCCCAAAATTAGCGAATTATGTTCTGTGGTTTTCCCTAAACAGACTCACAGGGATTGTCCAAGCGGAAATCATTTTGCCATCTTTATAATCCTTTATCCAGCTTCCAGAGGCTGAGTGTCCCCTGGACAGCACAGCATCAGGGAAAGATCAGAGGCACCTGTGCACAAGACCAGGCATTGAGACGCTACCCCTTCTCGGAGCCTCAGTTGTCCCATCTGCAGGAATGGGAATGATACACATCTTCACGGGGCACCGGGGACCCTGCAAAAGACACACTGTTTAAATGTGAGCCCAGGGTCCGATGTATTAAGAGCTCCATGAAGAATGGTGTGCTGGTGTTTTTATGATGTATCTAAAATGGAGAGAGGCGGGTTTGAAGGGCAGCCGTACGTAAGTCACACCCCAGCGCCATCTTCATTCTTGAAACAAGGACATGCAAGAATCCAACAGGTGCATTGACACCTGTTATTTTCAAGTTCCTAAAGAGTCTCCCACTAGCAGGGCCATTTTCCTATAGGAAATGGGCAAGTTTCCTGATGTGAGCCTGTATCACACACGGCGGTTTAATGTCTTACAAGGGCCTGGTTATTCTACAGAGCTCGTCTAGACTGTCCTTCCTATCTGAGCTCTTCCTCCTTCCCAAACCGTAAAACCTCTAGCATTTGCAGTGAGCCCCCTGGCTTGACAACAAGCCAAGAGACAGATGTCCAAGACATGCCACTCCTGGTAGGGAGGACTTACTCCTGCCAAGGAATCGGGGGCAAACTTCTCAGGGTGCAGCATGACCAAGGGGCTGTTTCATCAGAAAGCATTTTGTTGCAACACGGTTCAGCAATCTGGGGCACTCCTCTGCTCCCAGAATCAGCGGTGTGCCCGCCATCAGCCGAGGGGCCCTCCTCAGGGTCCTTGGACAGCTTCCACTGCCTCCTGTCATCGTCACCTTACAGCCCTGGATGTGACTCTCACTGCCAATGGGCACAAAGGCGCCAGGGTGTCCTGTGCACAGAAAAAGCACAATTGAAGAATGCTCTCTGGTTGTCGGTCCTGGGACATCCCTAAAAGAATTTAGTTAAACACTTCGAGAAAGAAAATGAGGTGTTCTTGCTGTGGAAGATATCTTACCAGCTCTTTAAAAAAAAAAAAATCAGTGCAGTTGAACTTGCACAGTTTTTGTTGGCTCCCTTCTGTTTCCTGTTGCCACTTCTCCCAGATACCAGCTGAGCCAAAGAACAAACAAAAATAAGCAATATTCTGCAGCAAAAATATTTGGTTTCCTCTCCCTTCTCCCGGCCTGCTGCGGTGCCCTTGGCCTTCGGAATTCTTGCCTGGCCCTCTGCGTGCTACCATCCTGTCCGCTTTCTCTGGGGTGTCTGGAGATGGGATGGTTTATTCTGAGGGTCAGTTCTGCAGAATCTCTGACCACCTTCCAACACAGTCTGTTACACTGCTCTCCTCTCATTTTCCTATTTCCCTTAAATACTTAGAGCAGCATTCTTTCGTTCTTGTGTGCAGTCTTAGAATTCCCTTCAGGCTCATTAAGGAGGCAAGGATTCAGAGCGGTAGGTGAAAAGCAGAGTTGGAACCAGGGAAAGATGTCTGTGGTGGATTCTGAGTCAATTATAGACATTTTGTTTCACTACATGGAAGGGAAGTTCATGTTCAGAAGTTACAATGTTGTTGTTTTTAATTTTTTTTAGAGAGAGAGAGAGAGAGAAAGAGAGCATGAGTGAGGGGGGAAGACCAGAGGGAGAATGAATCCCAAGCTCCGACCCCGATGGGGGCTCAATCTCGTGACCCTGAGATCATAAACTGAGCCCATACCAAGAGTCAGGCACTCCACCAACTGTGCCACCCAGGTGTCCCCAAAGTTAACAGTGTTATTGAGGTGTGATTTCCATGCTCTAAGAATCACCCTTATTTATTTATTTATTTATTTTAATATCAGGCTTCCCACTCAGCAGGGAGCCTGACATGGGACTTGATCCCAGGACTGGGATCAAAGACCTGAGCTGAAGGCAGATGCTTAACCATCTGAGCCACCCAGGCACCCCTAAGATTCACCCATTTTAAGCAAAAACAGTTCAAGGAGTTCTAGAAAATTTCCAGAGCTAGCTGCACGGCAATCACCGTGCTCCAACTGTAAAACACGTCCATGATCCCCTAAGTTCCCTGACACCCGTTTGCAGTCAGTCCCCATCTCCACCCCTGATCCTTGGTAAGGTAAGGTAATAGAACTTACCTTCTGTCTGTGCATCCACCTGTTCTGGATATTTCCTATTAATGGGATCATACCATGTGTCGTCTTTTGTATCTGGTTCCTTTCGCTGGTCATCAGGTTTTTGAGGCCCACCCAGGTTGTAGCAAATGTTAGGACTTTGGTTTGTGTTATGGCTAACTATTCTGTTGGGTATATACACCATAGCTTGTTTACTTGTTCTCCAAAATTTACCTTTCTGGGGCATTTGATGGTCACATTGGTACCATTGGTATAGGTGTGTGAGTGTCTCTGACAAGTAGAGTGATTAATTTATGTATTGATTTGAAAATGGATTTTTTTTTGGTAACTTATCCACATGGCAGTTAAAAAATTATATTAAATATACAAAGTTTTTAAAATATTTATTTTCTGGTTTTTAGTTCCCAAGAACATACTCTCAGCGATTGATCCAGCCGTCACTAACGTAAAACCTTCTTTGAAGCAGAAAGATGGTGAACATGGTAATTTTTATGGCTTACTACCAGCATTTCTCTTAAAGTAAAGGTAAACAACCCCATGTGACCATAGTCGGTTGCTCACTGGTTGGAATGAAAGGGTATGTCAGGAGGTGAGCTGGAGTTACCAGCTCTGACAATGGCAATGTTGTCGTGGTGGATTGCAAATGGTGGCCAGTATCTTGTTTTGTTTTACAAATTATAAATGGAATAAATCTTCCTTCCATTCCCCTCTTATTTCTCAAGTGAAATATCACTTGAAAAAAGAGATCGGTTCAGAAACAAATTTGGGGTTCCTGGATTCTCTGATGAGCTTGTTGGAAAGATGACCCGAACCAGGAATGTGTTTCCAACACATGCCCCCTCTGCCCTTGGGTTTTCGCTGGGCTGTTGTGAGTAGGAGGGGGATGAACATTTTCGTTTTCTTATCAAGTCTAAAATGGAATCAGATTCTTGGGGCTTCTGATGGAAACTGCAAAGTTTCTGTAGAACATCTAAGATACTATACTTTGTGTGTTCAAAGTTTGTTTTGCATTACTTTTATTACATTTGTGAGGTCTTTTGCTCCTAAGTATAAAAGTAAAGTATGCCTGATGTGGAAAACAGAAAAGTAGCAAGAAAAAGAACTTGCCCCTAGACTCAAAGCTTAAACATAAGTATTGTTAATATTCTGTTCTTCTGGTTCCCCCATACCTGCTCTCTCGCTGCCAGCCTCTGCATCTCCCAACCCCACTGCTCTTTCTAACAGGGCTCCCCCGGACCCCATTGTATCCTGGTCCCCCAGCAGTGGAGACCCGAGAGCTCTATGCCACCCTTCCTTCGACCTGTCTGACATCCCGTAGGGTCCCCAAAGCTCTGAGGCTGCGCATCACAAGCTCCCTAAGCTCTATCACAACAGTGTAACCAGGCATCTGAAACCAGACCTGCCCTGCATTTTGCTGTCATTTCTAAAAAAGTAGCCCCCCACAATCTCCCTCCATAACCTCCCTCCCTTCTTATCTATGGTCAACAGTGCAGGCAGCAGCTCTGTGATTAGATAAGCCATTATTAAGCCTCCCAGAGGCATGATGAATGGGACAATCCATTGTCCCCTTCTGGACTGGAGTGGATGAGTGGCACCTGAAGTTGGAACCAGCACATTTTAGAATTTCTAAATCCCTCTTATCACTTAATATTTTCAGAGACTATTTAGTAAATGCTCCTCCTGGCTTGGTCTTCTATAATTCAGTCAGAGGCCCATTTATTTGATTTCTATGACTTTTTATTTATTATAGCAGTCCTGGGTTGGGAGCAGTAGGCATACTGTGAACAGCTATAATTAATCAGTTTTGAATTTTTTATGAAACAGGTATAAACTTTGACCCAAGCAAACCGAGGGTTCTGAGGAAAGACGGCATTATTGTTAGCAACTCTCTGGCAGCGTTTGCTTACATTAGAGGTAGGTCAATGAATCGAAGCTTCCTAGAATGCTAACGGCTTTACAGAAGTCTCACTAACAGATGCGACGTTTAATTACAACACTCAGTTGAAGAAAAATGACTTTAAGTTTGGCTCAGCACCTGCAGTCTTGCTATGATTTGGACACACAGAGGCTTGGCCTCAGGTGCAGGGCCATCCAGGCTACCCACAAGAGGACCATGTGGGGAGAAGGTGAACAGATAAAGTCACGCTGTTCAGGAGTTGGGCTCCATGAGTATTTACCGTTTTGAAAAGCAGGAACCCGAGGAATGCACATTCCCCAGCTCTAAAATCTGGGAAGGGCAGAGGATTAGTGAATCCCACCCCTGGCTGGAAAAAAATGGAGTTAAAGGATCACCTAGTAAAGAAAACAGGTCACGCCCTGTGAAGGCAGAGTCCCTTCCTGAGCCACCCTGCGTTACTTCTCACAGTTGCCAAGTTCTCCCTGATACTCTTCCCCTCGAGGATCAGTCGGATTCAGCCCTCCCTACCTGGCAGAGCAGAAACTCTCATCAGGGAGGGGATGGTGCCTGTCGTCTCTCATCACCCCCGTCTGCTCACCTTATGTTGACCGTATTTTGAAATATTGACTCTGCAAGTATCAGCAGTGCCCCCTGACTGTTCAGGAAGCCCCAGATCTCTGAGGCCTTTGGTAAAATTCATATTAATATATGGCATTACGGCGTTACTCTTCAAGGCCTGCCGGGGCTGGGGCTCTTTCAAGTAAGCCTTCCTCAAATGAAAATAAAGCTGGAAGGAAACAACCCAACACAGGAGATACAGAGGACAGTCTTGGGATCCTGCACAGGTCCCTCGTGTTCCATCGTCTTCCTGCATCCATCGTCCTCCTGAATGTCTGTTGTTTGCTTGTTAGTTTCCTCTAAGAATCTTCTGTCTCCAAACCACCCTCCCACTTCCACGTCTGGCTCTTCCTAATAACATGTACGAGGTCTTTCCCTCCCTTACATATAAAAGTAGAATGTGCTTGAAGTGGAAAACACAGGAAAGAACCAAGAAATAGGACTGCCCCTAGTCTCAAAACTTAAACATAACTATTGTTAATGTTCTGTTCTTCTGGTTCCCCCATACCTGCTCTCTCTCTGCCAGGCTCTGCATCTCCCAACCCCACTGCTCTTTCTAACAGGGCTCTGCCCAGCTCCCATGCATATCCTGGTCCCCCAGCAGTGGAGGTCTGAGAGCTCTTTTGCCACAGTTGTCAGAGTTAAGAGATGTAAGCCTTTTTATTGTTGGAAATATCCCCATATTTTCAAAGTCCCTGGAGAGCCCCCTGGAGGAAAGGCATCATGAAAATCCTTCAGGGAAATAATGATTAACTGGAGGCAATGATGACTTTGCTCGCTGGTCCGTGGCCATGATGGGCCTCATCACTTCCTCTCGACAACTGGGTTGGTCAGCTCCGGCCGTCGTGACAAGACACTGTAGGCTGGCATCTGGTAGCTTCAACAGCCGAAATTCATTTTTTCTCACAGTTCTGGAGGCTGGAAGTCCAAGGTCAAGGTACTAGCAGAGTCTGTTTCTAGTGAGAATTCTCTTCTTGGCTTGGAGACAGCTGCCTTCTCAAATGAGAGGGAGAAAGAAAGAGAGAGAGAGAGAGATTGAGGGAGGAAGGGAGATAGAGAGGAAGAGAGAAGGAGGAAGGAGGGGAGGGAGGAAAGGAGAGTAAGAGGGAGAGAGAAAAAGAGAATGTTCTCTGGCATCCCTTCTTATAAAGACAAGGATCCTGTTGGATCAGGGCCCCGCCCTTAATGACCTCATTCAACCTTAATTACTTCCTTCTAAGTCCTATCACCACATATTTTGGGGTAAGCCTCCAACACATGAGTCTGGGGGGGGGGATACAATTTAGTCCATAGCAAAGACCCTGAATGAGAGGACTCTGATCCCCCATCCTGCACACAAGGAAGCGAAGCATCAGAGGAGCTGAGCCATTTGCCTGAGGCCTCAGCATGGATATCAGCTGGGTCATGATTGGATTCAACAGATACAAGACCTCTGCTCTGGTTTCTCCGCGCAGAAAGGATGCCCTTCAGGATGGTGAAGGATGGATGTTATCTGAATTACTCCCTTCCATCCTTGTCTACCATTTTGTATACTCATTACTCCTGGAAATCAAGGGACCTTAAGCATCATAGGATCAGGTGTTTTTTCTCTTGTTGTCATGCCCCGGTGCCCAGGAGAGGCTGGCGCAGGACACATGCTCAGTTAGTAATTGACAAATGAGCAGATGATGAATCTTCATGTGGTGTCACGAGCTGTCCGGCTCCTTATTACCACCTCATATTTGCTATTTCTAGGTCACCAATTTTAAAGAAATGTAAGGATGTTGTGGCCTTTATTTGGTTTTATTGAGGGTTGTTTAGGCAAATCTATCCCCAAAAGGCACAGGGAGGAGGCCTGTTTGAAGGAGAAGTCACCAGTAGGAGGAGCTGGAGCTGCAAGTGAGTGGGCAGCTTCTAGAAAATTCTGCTCTATATTCAGTAGATTGGGTGACTCCAAAAGGACATTCTCCCAGATCAAGCTGCCAGTGGCTTTGACACATTGGCACAGTCCTATACACACAGGGCACAAGTCAGCTGGAAACCAAAACCGAGGGTCTTGTCCGGGGATGTTGGAACACAGGGATTAGCAGAATGGATGTGAGAATGTCCAGGAGTCCCTGATGAACGGTTTCTTTTTTGGCCATTTAACCGATCTATGAACCCATCCCCAACAGTGAGGTTGTGACATCGTTTTAGGCATGTTTGGACTTTACTCTTCTCCTAACCGTGTAGACCTTGATCATTCTAGAATCTAGATCATGGGTTTGAAGAAGCCCATAGAAAAATTCTGAAATTAGAGAAACAGAAAAGGGTGTGTGTGTGTGTGTGTGTGTGTGTGTGTGTGTGTTGGAGGTTTTAAGAAAGCAGTTTATTAGCTGGCTTAGCCATTGGGCCCCAGCAGACTGTGCCCAAGGAGCCTCATCTAGACAACCTTGCTCAGAAGCTGACTCTCGCTTCACCTAACTAGTGTTTCCCCAACATCTGCTTGTGCGTACCACACATCTGCTGGCAGGCATGCCTTTGGTGCCCTAATATTTTCATCGCTTGCCTCTACTTCTGTCTTCAGCCCTCTGGAAGAGCTTACTGTGGTCTGTCCAGGGCACAGGGTATCAGGGGTAACTGGGGTAGCTGGGGTCACGTGTCAGGAAGCAGAGCTTCTCCTGAGATGTGGAGGCATCATTGTTCTCTACGAAAGGAATCCTAGGCGACCAGACGAACCCACACTGAAATAGAAGGATACTAACACATTCCAAAGTCAGAGTTACACGATCCCCTGTCAGGGAGGACAACTGGAAATCAGCACCGCCTTGTCACATAGGTGTGGATTCTGCTGTGTTCCCACGGTCTCTAATCTTTGGTTCTGTCGGAAAGTTATTATTGCATCCGTAAGTGCTGTCGGACCAGGGCCCGGTCTCCTTTGTGCTTTCATGCAATAGCAGCAAGGCCCCAGGTGGTGGAACCCTGGCCCTGGTCTCTTGGTGTCTTATTTGGACCCAGTAAGCTGGAGCTGGAGCTTGTGCTGGCTCTAGACTAGAGATCTGAAGGTCAGGGGGCCTTAAAGGCCTTAGGCCACCATGGAGAGACTCTTGCTGGCTTTTGTGCTAAAAGGCAGAGTAGAATTGTTGCCACACACACTGTATGGCCCACAGAGCCCAAGCTACTCTGTACCTGGCCCTTTCCAGAGAAAGTCTGCCAGCTCCTGTTTTATATTTTGAGGGAGTTTCCTGGATTATTATTTCCCAAAGAGGGAATGCTAACCCCTCAAGGGTACATAACTAAAAAACGGAGAGAGTGATAGTCCTTTCTATGTAGGGTTAATGTAAGGATTAAACCAATTAAAGATTTAGATAAGAATATGTAGTACAAATTAGCATCATTTGTATTTATATTATTATTATCCTACGATCATCTGGATATTGGAAAATCTACCAGAACTTTTATTCATATTTAGTTTTTAATCTGAAGAAATTAAGTTTTGTTAACATCTACTGTTATTAGTATTACATTTGTATGTGCATATATACTTTTATATATGTTAATTTTTCATAATTTACTCCCAATAGTAAACAGCTTTATTGAGCATTTACTATGTGTCAGCGAAAGTTCCAAGAGCATTACTGGAATTAACTGTATAGCAGGAAGGTGCTATCAGCTCCATTTTACAGGGGGGAAACTGGAGCACAGAGGGGTTATGTAACTTGCCAAAAATCACACAGCTAATGAGTAGCAGATCAGAGTTTGCACTCAGGGGTCCAGCTTCTGAGTCCCCCTGCTATGTGTCCTCTCATGTGCATACCTATATTAACTATATATGCTCAAAACCTTTTTTTTTCCTTAACCAAGGAGAGCACAGGATCAGTTAGGTGAGGATGGTCTCCAAGATCCCGTCTGGCACTGGCATTCTGCATTAGCTGCCAGTTTGGGCAGACATCTGCTTCTATGGGACTTTGGATTGGTGAAGACTGACAGCTCTTCCTGGGTCCTGACTTGTCCTTTCCCCCACAGCCCACCCAGAGAGAGCTGCGCTGCTGTTCGTGTCCAGCATCTGCATCGGTCTGGCACTCACATTGTGTGCCTTGGTCGTCAAAGTGTCCTGCACCAAGGACTTCAGGGAGCTGCAGCTGGTGAGAGAGCATCTGGTGCCAGAAAGTGACAAGGCTGAGGAAGACAGCGAGGATGAGGACGGGGAGGAGGACTCCTCTGACTCCGATTTTCCAGGAGAACGGTCTGGGTTCTGTAGGACTTCGTATCCTGTCTACAGTTCCATAGAGGCTGCAGAGCTGGCAGAAAGGATTGAGCGTAGGGAACAAATCATCCAGGAAATATGGATGAACAGTGGTTTGGACACGTCACTCCCAAGAAACATGGGCCAGTTCTACTGAGAAAGAGACACGTCTTCATGTGACCACACTTTCTGAAGAGGGAAGGATCCAAAATGCCCCTCCAGTTCTGTTTCACTTGTACCTTCTATGAAGGAGTATTTGTCATGTCATCCAATACTGGTGAAGCCAGAAGCCATTAAAGGGACATTTCAAACAGTTTACAGCACATTTCAAAATAAAATAGGAGGGAAGTCTCTGTTTTCTGTATTTATTTAAATTCATCTTTATACATTAACATACAGTGCACAGCTACTGAGTGCTTAAAATGCCACAGGCTGCTCTAGCTGCTTTTTCTTGTATTAAGTCATTTAATCCCCACAACAGCTTCATGAGATAGCGCTGTCATCCCCATTTTACAGATGAGTAAACAGGAGGTCCCCTACACCCATAAAAAAAAGTGTACTGACATACAGGACAGCAAGCCTGAGTCTGGTGGTGGATTTTAACCACTCACATTACTTGTTTAGAACAGGGGTCAGCAAAGTTTTTCTTTAGGGGCAAGATAATATTTTAGGCATTGTGGTTCATGCCGTGACTGCTCGACTCTGCCACTGCAGCTCACAGGTTGCCATCCATAGCTAATCCATCATGAACGAATGGAGCTGTGTTTCAATAAAGCTTTATTGATAGACACCGGAATTTTGAATTTGAATTTCATTTTCATGTGGCGCATATTATTCTTTGTTTTTTATCCATCACTTTAAAATATAAAAACCTTTCTTGGCTCACAAAAACGGGGAGCAGGCATTTGCCTGATTTTGTAAATAATGTATGGTCCACAAGGCCTAAAATACTTACTCTCTTGCCCTTTAGAGAAAAAGTTTGCCAACTCCTGATTTAGAATTGAAGGCTGCAGAGCTTCTAGTGGTGAAAGTGATGAACCAGATCACCCAGCAATCCTTTGATCCAATGGAGTTACTTTCCTTTCAAACCACTGCAGGGGAGAAGGAAAAGAAAAAAAAAAAAGGTAAGGAAACAGATTCCTAATGGGAAGACTAGTGAGGGGGTCCTTTGGACAGCTCCCCCTGGTGGACAGGAGGCTTATAGCTGTGGAGTGGAATAAGATTTTTTTCTTTTTCGTCCCAGTCAGACTCAGAGCATAAAAATGATGGTGTTATATCCATCTCATATGTCCGCTGTGAACAAACTCTTTGCCCTCTCTTATTTCTCCCGAAGGCCCCATCTCTAAGCACCATCCCATTAGGCATTAGGGTTTGACATACGGGATTGGGAGAATACAAACATTAAGCATATAGCAGAGTTGAAATTCCCATAAAGTAAAACTAACCATCTCAAAGTGTACCATACAATGACATATGGCATATTCACCATGCTGTGCAACCACAGATTCTAGTTCCAAACAGTTTCAGCTCCTGAAAATAAACGTCCCTACCCTAAGGTGTCACTCCTCATCCTCCCCTCCCTCCAGCCCCCCCAGCAAATACCAATCTGCCTTTTGTCTGGATTTACCTATTCTGGAAAGTACATATAAATGGAATCACATACTATGTAGCCTTTCGTGGCTGGCTTTCACTTAGCATCATGTCTTCAAGATTTGTGCACGTTGTACCGTGTATCAGGACTCCATGACTTCTCATGGCGGAGTAATACTCCATTGTATGAAGAGACCGCATTCTGTTCATTCATGCAACTGGGTTGTGTCCACTCTTGGCTGTTGTGGCTATGTGGCTATAAACATCCGTGTGCCGTATTTTATTTTATTTAAAGATTTTATTTGTTTATTTGACAGACAGAGATCACAAGCAGGCAGAGAGGCAGGCAGAGAGATAGGAGGGGAAGCAGGCTCACCGCCGAGCAGAGAGCCCACTGTGGGGCTCAATCCCAGGGCCCTGGGATCATGACCTGAGCTGAAGGCAGAGGCTTTAACCCACTGAGCCACCCAGGCACCCCAGTGTGCCGTATTTTAACAGCAGTGAGTCTGCACACAAATTGACCACCACAGACTTGTCAAGAAATCCCATAGTTTCCACCCAACAGAGGGAAGGGAGAGGGAGGGGAGTCAGAGTGACATCCCCTCTCTTACTCCCTACTTCTGCTGATTTCAAAATGAACCTCCCTGGGGCACCTGGGTGGCTCATGGGTTAAGCCTCTGCCTTCGGCTCAGGTCATGATCCCAGGCTCCTGAGATTCAGCCCCGCATTGGGCTCTCTGCTCAGCAAGAAGCCTGCTTTCTTATCTCTTTCTCTGCCTGCCTCTCTGCCTACTTGGGATCTCTGTCAAATAAATAAATAAATAAAATCTTTAAAAAAAAAAAAAAGGGGGAGGTCCCACAGCTGACCTCCCTCACATTGACCCCCAAGAAGGTGGGAGAGTAGGGATTTCGGTCAAGAGACGTATCTATGTACAGGCTGGGATGGTTTGGCCAGAGGCTGAAACTCCTCAGGATTTCCAGGTAACTGAGTCTTCTGTAATGTAGCGTCCTGGGAGAGGTTGACAGGGCTGGAAATGACATGTTTTAAATCTGTCATTAGAGAGAAATCTCTTCTAGGTCGTGGCAGAGAATGAAATGAACACACGGCCTCATTGTCTAACTTTTTCACGAGGATTTTGTTCTGATCAGAGAGAACCCTTGTCCTTTCACTTCGCTGAGCCCAGCAAGGAGCACTTTGGTATTGTCGCAGCTCTTGGAGCAGCCTGTCCCCATTATCTCCGTATCTAGCTTTCAAGCAACACATCTTCTCTGGCTCCCTGAATGTAAACACTGTCCCTCTGATGATGGTCTTTGTGGGACTGTAGAGAGATGGCCACTGATGGTTTTCACTTTGCAGTTGGCGAAAGACTTGCCCACATGGACCTCAGTCATAAAACTTGTGTTGAATGTCACAATAGGTTTTCCCTTATCTGAGTCTTCCCCAACTCCCAGCCCCCACACATGTGCACACTCCTCCCAGGACCCCTGAGGAGGCATTGGAGGGCAGGCCCACAAAGGCGAGGGCCAGTCTTTGGCCTGTGCAAATGTGGTGAGCTGTTTATCTGAATTTTCTGAGCCTCACAGAAGAATGCCATGTTCTTCTCATGGACAGAGCCTGAAGGATCCTGCTGAGAAAGTGTTTGGATGGGCACTGAGCCCAGGAGGAAGAGGACCAGACCAGATTTGGATGAAGGGTTGCTGATGGAGCATGGTGGCGGAGAAAGCTCCAGATTGGAAGTCCACCCAGCGAGTGTGGGATGCACACGGCTGCCCCTCCTCGGCTTTGTGCGTCTCTGGGCAACAGACATCCCTCTGTTTCCAAGCTGTGGGGTCCCGGAAGTCCCATGACAAGAAGCCAGCCCTCTGTGGGAGGTTTGCCCATGTCACTACCTCAGTTACTTGCTGCAAACACCGACTCTCCAGACATGAGCTACCTGCTGGAAAATTCATCCCTCCTGGATTCAGAGAGCTTGTTAGCAGGACCGCTGGTACTTTGTAGGTGCCAAGCATTTGGGGACACTTCGGGGAGAAGCAGCACATACCCTGGCCCCAAGCAAGTACAGGGAAGCCCTGAAATCTGTCCCACAGCTGATCCCACAAATGTGCAGTACACAACGCTGTGCCTACCCAGATCCCTGCACCAGGCAGCCCACAGTCGCCCTTTTCTGCAGAGAACTGGCCCTCATCATTTTTGTCTTAGTCCACTCAGGCTGCTATAACAAAATGCCAGAAGTGGGCAGCATAGAAACAACAGAAATTTCTTTCTCACAGTGCTGGAGGCTGGAGGTCCAGGCTCTGGGAGCCAGTGTGGTCGGGTGGGGCCCCCATCCTGTCTCAGGGCCAGCATCTTCTCACACGGGGGAAGGTCCAGGAGAACTCTCTGGAGCCCCTTTCATAAGGGCACAAATCCCATTTTTGAGAGCTGTATCCTCATGGCCTAATCACCACCCACAGACCTCCCCTCCTAATTCCACCATATCTGGGGGTTAGGATTTCTGCATATGAATTATGGTTGTGGGGGAGACACATTCATTCTGGATGGAGTGATTTCTTACAAGAATTTTTCCTGAGAGCACGCCTTTAACAAATCACTCACTCAAGAATCTCCATCTCAGGAAACTGACCCCACCGCCCAGGGGTGCGTGGGATACATGGGGTTCCTGTCGGCCCACACCAGGGGCACAGCATCACCTGCAGTGTCAGCGGGAGCCAGCCCCAAAGGATCATCAGGAACCCTTCCCACAATCAGGTGGTGCCAGGAAAAGAGCCAGCATCATATCTGGTAAGTCTTGGAAGGGGATGCCCACGGGAGCTCCTTCTCACTCTGCCCCTGGCCTTCTCTGTGGGCCCCAGAGACCAGCTTTGGCTCCAGGTTACCTGGGGAACCAAGGTCTGAGGCTGAGTCCTCCCTGGCGGGTGGGGGAGTGGAGTGAGTGCTCTTGCCCACACTACTCACTGGGGACCTCCTGGAAAGCTCAGCTGCCCTGATGCTTTCCCCCTACTCCCTGCCCTCACCTGGACACCAAAACACAGAGGCCAACCATAGTGGGCATGACTCTGTCCCAGATTCAGGTGCCCCTCCTGCCTTCTTGCCTCCCAGCTTCTACTTTGATTTGGTCCTAGTTTGATCTCGGGTGCCTCAGTTTCTTCATCCATAAAATGGCCATAATAACAACACCTCCTTCCTAGTGGTATTGAGGGCAATCATGCTTCACATCCAGTAAGAAGAACAGTGAAGGTAAGTTTTTATCATCAATTACTCTTCCTCCCGAGCGGCAGCATCCAGTCCGGCCAAGGCCGTGTCACTTAGCACTTAGGGGATCTGAAAGAATTCAAGGGCAAAGTAAGATCAAGCTGCTGAGGGAGAGGACCAGGCAGCCCCCTTCAACCCTGCTACCGAGAAGACTTTCTAGAGGAGGAACAACTATCTGCAGGACTCGGAAGAAAGTGTCCAGGCCAGAGCTTCCTTGGGTTCTTTGCCCAAGCCCACGGTGAAGGCTCCCATGCATGGACTTAAAAGGCCATGCCTGGTTGTGGCAGGGTAGTTATGAACCCGGAACTATGGTCATTGGGTTTTAAGAAGCCCATTGTAAGCCTGACCACCAGTGCAGAGTTGGCCAAACTCCATCCCAAGACTGGACGGTAGCCCAGGAGATTAAATCCTAAATAAATATTCCAACTAAATGCCTTGCCGACTGGAAGCCATACTGGTCTATAGTTAGAAATAAGGCAAGAAA